ACGACCACAGCCGGGATCCGATTTCAAACGTAACGTCCTGCAGGTTGGTTCTGGCCTCCAGTCGTCGCAGCAGCCGCTCCATGGTATCCCTGGGCACCATGAACAGGTCGTATTCGGAATTGGTGGGACGGTGGATCCTCACGGTGAGCGACTGTAGCCTGGGCATGCATCGGATGATTCCTAGGATGAGTGGCAAGCCGCCTACCCTGCACCATGCAGGCCAGATCGCCCGCATCGGGGGACATGAGGTGGATCCCAAAGCTTTTCAGCGTCAGCGCATTTGTCTGGACCTGGAGCTGGCTGCCGGCCAGATGGATGGAGGCGGCGCTTTCGGGGGAATAGTAGCTGGGCAGCATGATCCAAAAGTCGACGGAGGACACGTGGATGAACTGGACCGAGGTGAGATGCTTGAGCTTTTGCAGCAGCTGTGCTCCGTGGTGGGACGCCAATGTCCAGGCAGCCAGATTCAGGACCTCGAGCGACGACAGCTGCAGCAGGGCATCGACAAACACGTCGGGTCGCTGGATGAGTCTTCCGCTTTGGATGTGCAGCTGCTTGAGGTTTGGGAGGGTTTTGAGGATGTGAAAGGCACCGGCCTCGACTCCCCAGGGCTGCCGCGGGAAGGGTCTGAACAGCTCCAGCTTTTGAAGACTCATGTGCGCCAGCGACAGAAAGTCTAGACATTAGATGGCGCGCGGCGTGCCTTGCTCAGTGATGTGGCCGTCGTGTCTCATGATGGGTATCCGCAAGGAGGGGGGACAGGCTACCGATGAGTCGGCAGACCATACCGCCCTTGCCAATGTCCTGGATCAGCTGGGTGTCCCAGGACCAGATCGAAATGTTCTGCGGCCGCAAGAACCCCAGAAACCCCGAGAGTGTCGCACACGTATCTGGGGTGTGGTTTCCCTGGATATCCACGCCTCCAAAGACGATTCTGAATTTCCGCTTGATGCCTTTTCTGAGCAGTTGCTCTACGAGCGTCAGCAGCGCGACCAAACCTATGTAGGCCACCAGATGCTCGGGCCGGTCGGTAATTGCATTGGAGTGTATCCGTATCTGCCTGGTGAGACCAACCTTCAGGACCGGTAGATCCGAGGCCGTCTTGGCTGCGTCCCGCAGAGTGGCATGCCGCCGGCCGTCGGGATGCAGATCCTCGTCCAAGGTGCGATCAGAAGCCATCGAAGCCGCGGACTGCCATCTCGACAGTGGTGTCGCCGACTGCATTCGCTCTTGGACCGCGACCGGAGCAAAGCCGGGCAGGATTTTTATCGATTCCGGAAACTGAATCATGGTAAAGGACGGATCGTCTCTGGGATCGTCGCAGAGGATTTCGACATTGACCAGCAGCGGACAGCACGCTTGGCGGGAGCTGGCGTAGAAATGCCGGCTGACCAGCGGCAGGACCTTGTAGACCTGCCGGGGAGAATCAAGATACGCAAATATCTTTTGCCAGAGCTCGGGGGAAAGATCCGGCATAGACTTTTTATCGTCGAAACCTGAGACGCGTCTTTGAGCAATGCTTTCATCAACGACACTCCCGTCGCAGCAACCCCAGCACAGTGACAGTCTCGTCCAGAAAATGAAGAGCTTTTGGGAGAGCAAATCCCGCGAGGATGACGCAGCGGCAGAGTGGAAGACGTTGAAGGGTCAGCATCCGCAGGACAAAGACATCATCGGCTGCTCGGTCAAGTCCATAACGATTCACGGCAGGACAATTCACCAGGTTGAACTGACGTGCAAGTGCTGCCAAGGTCATTTTGTGGTGCGAGCAGCTCATGAATGCAGCAGCCAGGACGAAAACGAGGCCCAGGAAGCCGGTCTGGAGTGGCTGCAGGACCAAAGTGGTGAAAATAGAGTGAATCTGACGCTGTGACGACAGCCTGAATTGATAAACGCAATTGATTGTATTAATCACTACGCCGCTACTGGATCTTTAGCAACTCCACCTCGAAAATGAGGTTGGACTTTGGCGGAATGCCTGCCGGATGGCCACGCTCGCCATAGGCCTGCCGATTAGCGGAGCAGACTTACATAGTCATAAGTGATGCGGAGGATGGCCTTTTCGCCAAGAGACATTTGGGGAACGCCCTACGGTCAGCAATCGGCCACGTCCGGCTCGGCCAGGCAGCAGTCTGTCGAGAGCTTGAATCCACTTACTTCGTCCCATCCCTTGATGACCTGCCCCACGCCAATCTTGGTAACGAACGGCTGGCCACGGTCGACCGAGGAGTCAAACTTTTTTCCGTTTTCAAAGGTGCCATTGTCTACCGTCAATCCATCCCGGCATACAATGCATGGTGACCGTTTGACCCTGGCGTTAGAATGCACAACGAACCGGCTTGGGGAAATTAACACCGTCTCCGGCCTTGATGACTTCCTTGACTACTCCCTAGGTGCGGATGAGTGCTGGACAGGCCTGACGCACCATTTTGCGTATTGTACTCGAGAAAAGTCGAACCGGCGCTCGCATTTCGGTAGAAAACCAGCGAATCACGCAGCCGGCCATGATGCACCGGCTATTTATTAAAATACTGCAGCCACTGCGAGACTTGAGTCTGGGCCTTTGTTTCAAGATCAATCCACACGTCTACCCCGTTCTGGATGGCCGACTAGCAGCGTTAGCCGGAAGAACTTACTCTTGTTCCCCGGAAAGCATCGGTGATGTGGTGCCGGGCCGCCCGAATCCCCAACTCTAGACTGCCTGGCGGGTCGACGGGCCGCTTCAGAGATATTGGCGGCAGTGCAGCTGAATAGCAAGACAGAGTCCTATTTGTACTGGGTGTGGACGAGGAAGGCGTGGCCATTGTCTTTTGGTCAAGCCAGAAATCTCTTTCGAACACAACTCAACTTTCTGAGCAATGAATCCGGCCACCGTATACAGCATTATACCAGACACGGCATCAGACAAATCCCAGCCATCGGCACCGGGAGACGGTCTAGGGTTGGGGCTGCCGTTCCCGCTGGCCATTCCCCTCAAAATCAACTCCAACTTTTTGCAGATGCTGCAGCAAGGGGCTGCCCCACCCCTTTCTATCGATTTGTCGGCCCTCGACACCCCCATCTTGATTATGGGCCAAGGCGACCAAGCGGATGCGCCTGAACGAATTGCCTTGAAGCCGCATGGACAAAAGTCAAAACCCGCAGCTAGCTCTGGCGATAATCAGCAACTGAAGCTATTTGGTTTGGGTCTTGACAATAATGCCGATTCTGCCTCGTCAGCTGTCCATGGACATCACGACGGTGGCGGCCATGCTTTCCACTATCTGGGTTCTGCTTCTCTAGGACGCTGGACCATGCCCCCCACGCTCAACAGGAGCCGAATCAAAAACGTATCCGAGCAGGAAGAGCGGGCCAAGGGCGAGCGCAGGTACGCGGCAGTGGCTGACCCTAGGTTTGTTTGGTGCGGTTGATGCAAGGTCCATGTTTTTAGATAATGCGCCGCTGGAAAAGACCGGCAAGAGCGCCAAAAGACCGGCGGTGAAAAGGACGCTAGTGCAGCCGATACGGAACCACTCGGTAAAGTCTCCGCTGCTAGCTCCGGCTCCGATCTCTGTCCAGCACCACAACCACAAGTCTCCCGTGCCCGTGCCGCAGACCGTCGTGTCGGTCAAGCCCTCGGCTGTCCCAGGCAGTCGGCCAGAAAGCGGTGCCAGGCCACAGTCGACGGCAGCCCCCTCGGCGACGGACGCCGGCCTCCGAGACGACACCCAGAGCGGTAGCAGCACGGCCAGCAGTCTCCCTCCGTCTCCCAAGCTGGCGGCGGCAGAGCTTGCCCAGCTGACGCGAACGCTGCTCCACTACCTGGCCTGCCAGCCGCGGGAAATCGACGACTGTCTTGCCAAAACAAAGCAGCCCTTGGACGCGGTTCTGTACGTTCTGAAAAAGGTTTGGCGCCAGCGCTTACTTGCAGATTGGATCGCACCAAGCCGCCAGAAAAAACTGCTTCCAGCTAAAGACAGAGTCGTTCAAGGACCTGGACCCCTGGAATTTCGACTACTCGAAGGAAGAGCGCGACCGGGCAATCCGGAACGCACATGTCGCCTTTGAAACTCTCAATGTCCCCAAGTCTGAGCGACTCCGTCTGCGGAAACCGGACGCACTGAATCTTGAAGCAAGGCCGGTGCCCGTCACTGTGCCGGCGATGGGAAAACGAAAGTCGCCGGTGCAGACCGAGCCAGCCGCCAAGAAGCTCAAAGCAGCCGTGGATCTCACCGCGTACCAGTCAGTGTTTGCCAAAACCCTGCTGGCAGACCACACTGACGCCGGCAAGACGACAGAGAAGACGAATGCCCAGAAGAAAAAGCGAGACGTACCCAGCCCCAGTCTGTCTCATGCACGCAACCCATCGGTGTCCGAGGTTTCAGTCGCCTCGACAGACCGAAAGGTCGATTCGCCCAAGATGGGGTCGCCCAGGAACAAAATACCCGGCAGTGCCAAACCCAGTGTCCAGAAAAAGTCGTTGTTTGGGCTCGGTAATTCGGCTGCGACTAACTGTACCAGAGAGCCGAGACTGGAAGGAGATGAACCACACAGAGCTCGAGGTGTATGTGTCCTGGCTGCGCGGTGTCAAGCAGGATCTGAAAAAGTCGCTGGACGGGATGGAGCAGATTACCAGCGACGTTTCCATGGCGCTGATCGGGAAAAGCAAGGAAAGCGAGAAAATGGCCTTGATCCGCACGCTCCTTGTCCGCGGGGGCTACGAGGCCGATCCGGGACTGTTTTTGAGCAAGGCCACGCAGCTGAAGGACAAATATGCCCAGGTTTCGCTCGATCTGTCTCGGTTTCTGGGATGGATCGATTCTCTGGGAGGATATGTAGATTTTGGAGACCTTGAGTAGCAGCACAGTCGCTGCAATAAACCCAACCGTCTTTTGTATCGTCCCTCAGTCTACGAGGCAACCAGCAGTGTTCCAATTCGGCCAGCTATTGGAACTGCCGCACAGTAGTTGCCAGCCGGCTGTTTTGGGTCAAAAAACACTAGTGACCAAAATGGACGTCAAGGTCTCGTGGCGTAATGGTAACGCGCAGGACTTCTAATCCTGAGATTGCGGGTTCGAGCCCCGCCGAGATCTTACTTTTTGATTTTTTGCCTTGTGTTACTGTCTGCACCTGTCTCTTCTGGCACCCGCTGCGTGTTCAAGCGGCTGCCGACGCATCTGTGGGCGGAGCGTGCGCGGCGTTGCGGGAGGGATTGGCAGCAATGCATGCATCTGGCTAGTGCGAGCGGTAGTCTTTGCAGATGGTCCAGGCCAAGCGTCGAGTGTGGGACAAACGGGTGGGCAGTGCAGCAAAACACTGCCCACACTTGTACGAATAAAAGCCGGGAAACACTGGTCTGCCCCGCCCAAATGATACCACTTCTGGTCCTCTTGATTCTGACTCTTTTCGGCGTGAGTGCGAATGAAGCGTTCCAGCCGCAGCTTACGGCGGACTTCCCGCACCTGATTGGTGAGTCTTTTGTCGGTAACACCGGCGGCAGGCACCGAAAGGATAAAGGCTTGGATGGATCCTGCCCACGATCCCTGCAACGACTTTTTCATGCATGCCTGCGGGGGCTTCCGGAAACGCTATGCCCACTTTGCCAACAACACCAACGTGATTGGGCTGATGAGCAAGTCGTCGGCCCTGCTGATTCAGATGGTGCTGAACCAGACGTCCGATCCGCTGGCCACCACCCCGGTGGAGCGAGACATTTTCTGGAAATCAAGGTACGCTGAGCCGCTGACGGCCAGGGACTATTACACATCCTGCCTGCGAAAGGACATTATCCAGCAAAAGGGGTTCGAGCCCATCAAGGCAGTGGCCAATCTGGCGCTGAAGAAATTCGACAGCGGCATGTCCCTGATGCAGCTCATGGGCGAACTCGAGGCCCAGACGGGAGTGAAGCTGCTGTTTCATTCCAAATACACATCTGTCCCTGCGCACGACATCCACGAGCTGCGGCTCCAGATTGTGCCGACCCAGGCCTACCGGAGCATGACTCTGAAGGACGTCCAGGACATCATGGCCACGTGGGCTGACAACGGCGTCATCGACCTTGCGGAAGCCGAGATGGAGCGGATCACGGCGTTTATCCTCAAGCTCGAGCGGCGGCACTATCGCTTCAGCAACCACCTGAACCACTTGTACCGACGGCGAAACAAGCAGGAGCAGTACCAGTCTCTGCACAGTCTCGGCCAAGAGCTGGGGGTGGACTGGGACGACTACCTGAAGCCGCTGAAGCTTGAGAATGTCGAGCAGGTGCATTTGTGGGCAAGCCGGAGGGACTGGATAAAGGAGATTGAGTACTTTCTGTCGCTGGACAGAAACCTGCTCCGCTACTACACACTGTGGCGACTGTCGCTGGCCCACTTCAACAAGCTGTCGGATCCCTACTACTCGCTGTGGAAGAACCGGTTCCGAAAGCGCGCCATCAAGATGGGGTTCTACTCGGTCGACAAATCCATGACCTTTCTCCGGCACGACTGTGTAAAGGAAACCGGCGCAAATCTCAAATATCTGGCAGGCCACATCTACATCAAGTATGCCTTCAACAGCACCCAGAAGCACGAAGCCACTGTGATGGTTGACAATCTGCTGGCCACGCTGCGGTCGCGCTTTTTCCAGCTCTCCTGGATGGACAAAAAGACCAGAAAGGCCGCAATCAAAAAACTAGACAATCTGACAAAGATCGTCGGGTACGACCTGCGGCACTGACGCGTAGCTTTCCGGACTGGGTTATGGACCCCTACAAGGTCGCCGAGTACTACCGGCCGCTCAAACTCAAGCCCGACACGTACTTTGAAAACGCCATCCAGGCCCAGATCTTTACCGAGCTGATGCCGTCGATCCGCCACTCGAGGAGCAATGACATTGAGCGGCAAGCACTGTTCAAAGACCACATGTGGCTGCTCAATGCCGTCCATCTCGTCAATCTGGTGCAGGTGCAGATCAATCCCGGGTTTATCCAGCGACCGCTGTTCAGCCAGCTGAATCCTTCGGCCATGAACTACGGCTCCCTCGGCGCAGTGATCGGACACGAGCTGACGCACGCATTCGACAGCTTTGGCTCGCAGTTTGACAGCGAGGGGGTGCGGCGGCCCTGGATGTCGCCGGCTTCGCAAGCAGCGTTCGACGAGCGGGCCGAGTGCTTTGTCAACCAGTACTCCGCCATGGACGCAGTGTTTTCCACTGGAAAGAAGCAAAAGGTGGACGGCCGACACACCCTGACCGAAAACATTGCAGACAATGGCGGGATGCACACGGCGTTTGCCGCTTGGTCGCGACTAGAGTCCAAAAAGGGCATCGACATCTATGCCAAGCAGTCTCCGGCCGACAAGTGGACGCCGGCGCAGATCTTTTGGCTCTCCTATGCCCAGACAAACTGCGACGTGGAGTCGGACCGAAAACTCAAGCGCCAGCTCAAACGCGATGTCCATTCCCCCAAGCCAATCAGGGTCAACGGGGCCGTCCGGAACTCGATGGAGTTTGCCAAAGCCTTCAAATGTCCTCTGCACTCTCCCATGCATCCCCTCCCCGTAAAAAAGACCTGTCGCATCATGTAGCCTGTGCATTACCGCAATTCTCATTAAATGATCTCACCCTTACGAGTAGGCCGAGTCGCAGTGCAGGCAGCCTTGCCACTGGACGAGACAAAGCGTGCGAGACGCCGGCTGATTCTCGGACAGCCGGCCACCACACGCGACAGCCACTGCTCGCTCCGGCTGAGTCTACAAAGTGATGCTGTGTTTAATGCAATTGCAGACGTGGCTACGGGGCAAACGGGCCAAGGTCGATGCCGTCCTGCGAGGCTCCAAACTGCAAGAGATCGGCCATGACTTTTCCGGTTGCTGGAGCTAGGAGAATCCCCCACACGCCGTGGCCGGCGGCAACAAAGAGGTTGTCCTTGATCTTTCCTAAAATGGGTCGATTGGTCGAGGAGTATGGCAGATAGCACGCCTGTTTCTTTTCGATCTCTAGCGCGGAAAGCCCAGGAACGGTCTGGTCAACAATCTCCTTTAGCTCCAGGCACGTTTGGTCGTCCACCTCAATCTGATCGACAGACTCGGGGAGAGGCAGGGTTTTCTTGGCAGAGCGAGAATAGCCGTCTCCGCTCACGTAGAGATGGTCCTGTCTGGGATACAGCTCGGGTTCTACGCAAGCGCCATTTTGCAAAGTGATTTCGGTAAAGAGAGCGATGCGGGGAGCCAGCGAGCCCATGACAGTGATGGAATGTGCCCGTTTGTACGTAATCGCGGGAGTCAGTCTGTCTCCGACCAGAGAAGCGGTCCAGGGCCCGGCGGTGATGAGACACTTGTCGAACGGCAGCTGCACCTCTTGGCTGGTGTTTGCATCCAAGTACACCACATGGCTGGACTGCACCGACAAGACCCTGGCTCCGGTAATGATCTTTACGTTCCCGGCCTTTGTGCATTCCGACAGAAAAAAGTTGCACAGCTTCTTGGGATGGACGAGCGCCGTGTCGCCCTCCCGGCCAATGCGATCAGCCCCGTAGACGGCATCCTGCTGGATCCACGGACAGGATCGCAGAAAGGAGACAGCGCCTTGAGACTTTTTCTGCTTTCCATTGGAACAGTCCATGGCGATCGAATAGGTGTCTAGACTGCAATAGTCCCAGAGCTGGCTCCCGTTGTGGTCGCTGGCCAATTGCTGGTGCAGGGAAAACGACAGGGCGGCCAGCGGCAGCAACTCTGGGGCATGCCAGTCCCTTGCCAGGAACCCGCCAGCCTTTCCCGAGGCATTTGAGGCAGTTTCCCTTCCGGCCTCCAACAGCACGATAGACCAAGAAGTAGATTTTGAAAGATAAAAGGCCGTGGCCAGACCCTGGATTCCGCCGCCAACAACACACAATTCTGGCATTTGATTTGACAAAATTAGGGGTTTCAGAATTAAACAAAATGTTGAGTGCTCAAACAAAATTGTTGAAGGTGGCGTCCAACCACTTGCACATCTGAGTGCACTTCCTACTAACCCTAAAGAAACTCTCAGATATCCTGGTCAGTGTCCATGTAGTAGTGGAAGAGTTTGCGCATGTTCTGGACGGCGTTTCGATCGCGATTGATGCATCCCAGTCGGTTGGTTTCCATTTGATATGTTGGAATAGAATGCATTGTTCTCGTTTTTCCATCGGGATGCTTCAGATCCACAAACGCAAGATAAATAAGTGTTGTAAGAAGATTCACATTGGCAACCACCGAATCAATCACGAATCGATTATTTGGATATAAAATATTCCTAAGCGGAAATTTCAGGCATTTATACTTGTCTGGTGGTTTGCGTGTCTTCATTCAAATGGAATCTGTAGATTTGAGGTCAATTTAAAGTAAAATTCCACTTTAATTGTAGAGTTACTCTACTGGAGCACTCAAATATCTTTGCTCAATTCTGAAGTCCCCAATTGGGGGTTTCAAAGTGTAACAAATAAAGTTTTGTACAGTTGAAAATTTGTGATTGTTACTCCAACAAATAAATGTTTGTTAGTTTGTATGCAATATCTTGCATGATCGTGAGTGTTCATCTGGTATCTCATACAAACTGAGCTAGTACTCGCTAGCTCTGGTGCATTCACTTCATCGTGAATTCATCTTTGGCTCTGTTCAATGCAAACAAAAATAGTTTTGTTGGCTGACAAATTTTCAACTGTACAAAACTTTTTTTGTTAAACTTTAAAACCCCTAACCAAATCATGGCCACGACGCTGTTTCAAGATTTGTTCTTTCCTTTGGAATTTTACCAAAAAGACTCGGGTGAATTCCACGGTGAAATCAGGGAAATGCTGGACTTTTCACTAGCAGTGCTGGAGGAGTTTAGCAAGGAACCCAAGGCCACGTCGACGGTGGACACACGCACATCTGTCCTGGTTGATGCAGTCAGTCGAATTGCCGCAGCCTGGCTAAAGGGCCGTCGAGACGAAAGAGTGGTGGTCGTTGTTTCGGAAAAGCCCGAGACGGCCAAAGACGCCAAGCAGGACAAGCCCCGGGAAGACAACGACAACAAGCTGCTCAACGGCGCAGTAATTGTGGGGAGTTTGGGCGTGGGGCTGTTTTCCACGTGGGCGTTTTCCCGAGAGCAC